AACTACAACAAACATTTTTTTAAATGTCATTACTGCATGTCATTTGTCCTTCTACATGATTAGAAGAGAACCATTACAAATCATAAAAAATAAGACTTATCCCAGTCACTTACTATTGATCAATTTTGCTCTGATGAATATTAATAATAGTATATGAATGATTGAAATTTCACTGATTCAAACAAACAACAAAATATCATCTTCTTTTTTAATTATACTTTTGTGAATGAGCTCAATGTACAAAATTGAAAAATTTATTTCCCTCATAATTCCTTCAACGAGAAAAGAGTAGAAAGAGGAAGAAAAGAGTTGTTTTGAATTGGAAAATATATCTTAAATCACTAATGATGTTTTAGTAGTTTATCTCAATTCAGCTATTATTATTTTAATTTATCTGAGGACAACAGTACTTTCATAGATTGGAAACTAATTTCATCACTCAAATTCTTGCAACCATTTCAAACAAAATATTTGACCATAGCATCTTCAATTGCTTCTTTTACATTTTGTCTTCTTTTGAGCCATCATGACAAGTCGTGAAGAAATCAAGAGAAAATTAGGAATCATTACTTGAATGTTTTCTAAAGCAATTCACTATTATTAATACTCAAGTTAAGATTTTTATGCAACTCTCTTTAGGTCTATCAGCTTTTAGTTACTACCTTATAATTTAAACTAAAATATTTATTGAGAAATGAAATGTTATTGAATCTAGAACATTTTTCCATGAGTACTGTACTACCAAACTGACACTCTAACATCACAGATAAATACCATTTAATTTAAACTAATAACAAAATGTATGCGATGAAACCAACATTACACATCCCTTTGCTTCAACACAAAGAGGGTAAGCATGTTTGTATGACTAGCAAAAATATTGGAATAATATATATTGTTATATCATTGAGGATTGTCACAATAAAACACTAGTTTTTCTTTCAGATTTTTTTCTTTTCCATAAAGTGACTAATTTTTTCACAATAAGTATTATATTTTTGCATTATTACTTCTTGAAATCATTTTTACTCTATCACTTTTTATTTTGACACTTTCACATACATGGATATCTCAATGAGAATCTAATATCAACCACTGCTTATTGAGTTCAAATACTATGTATAATACGAACTTGATATTTTGATGGTTTAATAAGAAAGTAAATAAATACTTTTAACCATTCCTTTCTTTCATAATCATCACCAAGAAAGAAATTAAAGGTTTCAAAGTTTTATGTCTTAAAAGTATTATGTATATATGAATGCAGAGGTAGAAATTATATTGTAATTTTATTTCATTAAATCATGAGGGTTTGAGTAATATATGAGACATTCCAATATATTTGTCATTTCATAAATGCTATGTGAAAAGTTGCCTTGATTAATTTGACTAACATTGAGTACACTTCACATTTCTGAGAATATTAATTAAATTTTTTTCTCTCCACAGCAATCAGGAGACAAAAATTTGGGAATATGGACCTAAATAAAACACTACTATGTACATTCACAAACATTTATTAACTACAAATCAACATTCAAAATGCAAATAAAACTCAAAAAATATATTTGATAATTCTATAGAACACAGTAAATACTGTGCATATCACAAATATTACAAAGAAAAAATAGGAATCTGGAGAGCTTTCTTGATCGAAACCCCTTATTCTTTTCATAAAAATATGTTCATATAGAAAGCATAGGCATTCTTAATTATTGATGCAACCTTTAAGTGACATTAAAGATGTGGGTCCGTCTGATGAATACAATTTAAAAATGCAAGCTTAGACACAAATCAAATAATTAATATGCACTGTTGCAATAAAAAAAAAAATTAATAAATAAAATTAAACTTTGAATATTAGCAGATAAGAAAAAAACACGGTCATTGACACAGGCTGCTATTTGACAAGAAAATAATAGTAAATACAATCATAATGCTGTCAATATAAGTTCGGATTTTGCTGTACTGAATCTATTGATATACATTTGATGTATTTTACATAAATAGAAATAATATTTCATGTCATGGAATATTAGATAAACCACATACGTTTCGAATATTTAAATAGTATATGAGAGGACAGTATCTGTTGTTTTTTGGTTGTTGTTTATTCCCTTCTGATGATGAAATTATATTATATCAGGACCTCACGACTTATTAGGTATGAACACAACAGAAAAAGAATAAAACTAGGACTGTAAAAATATTTAAGAGATGAGTAATAAGGAACTGGTTTCTATAATCAGATTCAGTCACCAAATGAACTACTATCTCACCAAAAAGAAAAATGTGCATGCCAAGGGCTGCATGCATTATGCAAAGAAGTGCTAATAATTTTATGCTTTTGTCAATATTTTTATACTAATGCATGATTTGTATATACACTTATGAAAACTGTAAACAGATTTTTATGATTCTGAAAAAAAGAATAGTGTTGAAATTATTTTAAAAAGTTAATAACAGACAACTCAACAATATCAGCATTAATGAAATTTACTGAAATAGAAGTGTCTCATACATCAGAACAAGATTTTTTAATGAGGACACTTGAAATTAGATTGTATCTCAGTAAAGCAGAAGCATAAATATGAATTTGATAAGAGTATTTATGTAGTAAAAAAGTTTAATTATACAAAAGTAGCATGCTAAATGTCAAAAACATTGAGACAATTTTTTTCAAGTAGCTCAGGGCAATATTCCCCACATTATATTTTGTTTGATATAGTTTTCCCCTCACCACCCATTTGACCATCAACAACAAAAATATTTTGCTGTCATGACTTAGTGACGCACTACGCCAACACTATTGGCTCATTGTGACACTACAAGAGTTATTTAAAGTGATAAATGAAGTCAAATGCAAAAGAAAAATATAGATCAGGACGCAGCCTCTTCCTTTTGGCTAGGCCCAAAGGCACATAGTACCTGACTGGCCTACTTTTTAATAAGCTTCTCAAGCTTCAATCAGGAAAACAGAGCTTACTTCAATAAGTCTGAAGCTCAATACCAGCGAGTCAGTACATTTCATTTTGATGACATGAAATGGTAGTTTCATATTATTGACTCATATTATACAGCCCAGTGCTGTTAGAAATGTTCAATATTTATGGGCACACATGATTTGACAATTGGTATTTATTTTTTCATATTGTCTCAGTATTTACAAAATATATCTTCTGTATTTATTAGTGGAAATCTCAACTTCCTCTTCAGCAAATGGCAATTCAGTAAGATCTTTTAGTTTTGTTGAGATATAATTGATTGTACACTAAATATTACTGTCATATTAGTTATCCCAAACAAATTATTTTAAAAGAAATGGGTTATAAAGGAGAAGAAAAAATAATCTTAAATGAATTCTATTTTGAATCCTCTCTCAAATTGCTGTTCTATAAATGTTTTTTTATTGTTGTTTTTTTTTTATTTTGAGCCTATAAGCTTGTGTAACTTTGAATCAGCTCTTTATTTTTTCATATTTCTTGTTTGTTATTGAAATATTTAAGCAACATATATTTCCTTTTCACAACATAGCAAATTGAATTTACAACGTTTATGATTTTATTTATAACAAAGTTGATATAATTTTTCACTGAAATTATTATCTTATACATCTATTGATAATGGGTAGTAATAAAAAGGTCCTTTTTGTACTACACTATTTTGTAATTTAGTTTTTAACCACTTCATCGTTAAAAGTCCAAGATACAATACTTAGAAATATATCTTTGACATGCATGAAGGTGGTATTTGAAAGGTTTAATTAAAGAAACAAATGTCATATTTGTCACTAGTGGTCTTGCATATATTAATCTTTTTAAAATGACGCATATGACAATAACAATTATTACTAAATGTAGTTATAAAAAAATATCGAACTCTGTAAGATTATATTTTCCATTAGAGACAATAACAGCCTTCATTAAATAATATTGAAAAAAGAAATCAAAGAAATTCATGTGTGAAAGAATTTTTATCTAAAGCAATGGGGGTAGAAAAATGGATAATGGAAATAAATCAGAACGGTACTTTCATAATTGTATGTATATAATTTTGTTTTTTCTTTATTATCAAAAGAGTCATGGGCTCACTCCAACTTTTGCAATGATAAATATAAGGGATGTCTAGAGTTTAGAATTAATTTTTACTTTGGATTTTTGAGACAGTTGCATGTCTTGACATTCTAAATAATTTTGCTTTCCTACTTTTGATCCCTACTTTTACAAGGAAGGAAGATGTTCCCAGTGATATGTGAAGATCAAAAGAAGAGAGAGAAAATTATTATGAATGTTAAAAGCATGTACTACAACTGTTGACAGGTGAAACCTGGGGATTAAACCTCAATCGCTCAATAATAGTTTATAAATACACATTTTTTACCATTCTATAAATCTTGTCTTTTACGGAAATAAAACATTGTAAGAAGTTTCATTATATAAATAGAGAAAGAGGGAATGTAAAATTTAAAAAGGTAAAATAATAATCTATTATTCAAGATCCAATTTATCAGAATTTCAAGTAAAACAAAAAGGAGTAACATTTCATACTTACAGGTTTCAATAGATCAAAACATGAAAATTATGGATTCACAGGAAAGAATATAATTTAGAATATATATAATATAAAGAATATAATTTAGAATGTCTCACAGTTGTAGGGAGTCTTCATAAGCAATTATTCAATTCATCTTCAAGAAAATCAAAATTAAATTTCTTAATTTTAAAATAATGTGTTGAAGTCTCAATTGAATGTGTTTGCAAAAGACTAGTATCAATTAATTTTATCATAAAAATCATCAGAATATTTGTAGGTACAACATATATTATATTTTACCTCCTAATAATATCACTTTTATTCTTTATGTCTAAATGTTGTAGATTTCTATTCTTATTGTAAATTGACATAGAAAATGAAGATCCGTTTCTATCATTATTTTCTTTCAGTTATTATTTCTTTCTATTATTCAGTTATTATACAGTTTCTATTATTATTTTTTTCAGTCTGAGCTGCCAAATGCTGTTGCAGAAGTAAGGCAAGAGACATGTAATTTTTGTGCCAAACAAAATGCATTGAATATTTAAAATTATTAAAGTGAAAAAGAAAATTTCTGAAAAATGTACATAGTACAAAATAATATACATTTTCTAATATTCTAAAATATCCTTAACATGGAATAGTTTTCCATGTGTATAGGCAAACTGGAAATATGTCTTCATCTTTTTGAATGAATCTTTTGGAAGGCCAAGAGAACTATGGGCCATCAAATCAAACCAATTATCTAGAATATACCAAATATACATGTACACTTACATCTACATATTACAACAGAATGTAATATTTTTATACATTCTACTACATGTATTTGGCTTGTACATGAATGGCACATTCAACTAAATAGTATATTTGTGGTACCATCACCACGAAAGGAAGCCTAACTGCAGAAAAGAGAGTTTTCTCATGGTACATTTATTAACCATTTCACATTTAATTTTATCCTTGATATCCTTTATCCTTAATAATTATATGTGAACATCATCTGCCACAGACATAACATCAAACATATGACATTAAATATTATAACAAAAGAAAACATCTCCAACATTTGAATTTTGCATGAGATTGAAATCTGTTTCTGGAATTTCTTAAATAAAAATGAAGACCACATATCATTTATATTATACTAGGCACACTTCGCCAGCAATAATTTTACACTTGAAAAAATGAAAATTTGATTAACCTAGGCATTTCAACATGTACATCAGAAAAGCTTTTGTTTCTTTAAATGTTAAATGCATAGTACTGCAAAATGTTTTGAAGATGATATTTACTCTGAGAATACTAGTTCCACCAATAATTAAAACTGTTATCATTGTTAAAAGGCTTGATTAAATTCCAGAGTTGCACTTATTGCGATTTGTAGTTGCATGAACTAATATCCTGGACTGTGAAAGATTTTACAAAAGTTTAGCAAAATCTGATTTAAAAATTCTACATATTTTCACCCAACAAGTGTTTTGTTTTGAAACTCTTTTGTATTAACTTTTTGTAGGAAGATTCTTTTGTTTACTCTTGAATGGCCTAATGATGAATGTCTGAGGAATGGTAAAAAACAATGAGCAACCTTGTAAAATTTTGTTTTTATTTAGTAGTGCTTTTATGAAGTTGTGAGGTTGGAAGTTCTGACAATATCTACTTTTAGTTTCTGCTCTTCACAGCAATTTAAAATGTCATGGATTGTCATGCCATGAATAGTGTCAATAATAAAATAAGTTAACTGAAATAGTTTCTGAAATAACTGAATAAGTTTCTGAAATTATATTCTTCGTGAACATTATTTACAATGCTCTGCTGCATTTTGCAACTGGCCAAAGTAATTGTCAATATGGATAATACTAGCATTCCACTAACTATTTAGCTTTCAAAACCTTGTTTCCTAGTACTTTGAGATACATCTGGAATTTATTCAAAGCCATATTGGAAACTATGTTTTCCCATTTAAAATGATTGATTTCATATTTCAATTCGTATTTCAACATTTTACCAGGAAAATATGTAGGATGATCTTCAATTCAAGTAAATGGCTTGAATATAGACATATTTTAACACTGAGTACAATATATCATTTAATGAATGAAATATGTTCAAGAACACAGTACACAGATGCCAGTTCTTAAACTGGCCAACATTGATCTTTAGAATGAGCAAGGTACAGCAATTATTTGAGGGTAAAGAATGACTGTTGTGATAATATCAAATCTCCACAAATTTTCTTTTGATATTCAATCCTTTTAATAATAAAATGTAAAAGCACACCCAACAAAACAATCAAAAAATTCTTAAAAACTCTTAAACAATTGCATCTTCCTCATAAAATTAACATCATCTTAAATGAATGCAAAAAAATTAATGATTCATTTAAATTAAATTGTAAACAGATAAATATGAAGAGTTAGTAAAATGTTGTTATTGAACAGACATAGAAAATAATATAGAATTTGGGAGAGAGGCACTGACCTGAGGCTTCAGAGTATTTCTCTGCCCCACCTATACTAACCTATTTCCAGTTTGATGACTATATTTTTCAGGCAGATGCAGTTTGATAAGGGAGATCAAGAGGATTAGACTGCATCAGCTGAATAAAATGTCATGACATAATACATAACATTGTGTTTAAACATATAGTCACTGGACAGACTTCTTATTTATGTTCCACTCATCAAGAGTTATGTGTACACAGGAGCATCGAGAATGAAACCCGCTATTCTAAACCTATTCTACTTGTTCCCACGTCCTACTCGATGTGACTCCGACGCAGTGCACACCCATAGGGGCATAAATCAATCTAGGTTGGAGAAGATGAGTCTTACAATCAATACTGTCACCGGACTATCTGCTTAAGGATCACAGTCAACAGGTGACAAATAGTTTACATACAAACGCCACGTTACAAGCAGGCTATAATAGACATGCAAGACAAAATAGGTCTGCATATACGAGTGTCCCAGAGCTGTTGCGCCAGTCGCCGCTGCGGCGTCCGACGCCACGTTCCAAAAAGATTCAAAATTCTGTCGGCAGGCGACTGTCAGGCAACGACGGCAGAGAGCGCTTAGAGTGTCGTGGCCGGTGGGCAGACAGCACGGGGAGCGTGAGAGGGGCAGAGAAGGGGGCGGGAGGCAGAAGGTAGGGGGAGAATTCTGCCAACATGACATTAGTTTTGCTATTGAAGAGACGTCGATCTTAGCAGATTGTCGGCTAGGAGCTTTGCAAAGCTATCGGTATAGGTGTATGGACAGAAAAACTCTCAGTAACTGTTAGGGTGATGCGTTGAGAAGGGTGCAGTATGAGATGATTGGTTGTAGGCCGATAGGAGAGCAGAGTGTGACAGGGTATCTTGGCAGATGAAGAGGTATTACGGGGTTGTTAAGCGTGATAGAGACTCCTTGCTAAATATTAAACCATGAGTATGGCACAGTTTGAGGGAAGGTTTAGTCCAAGCAATTGCTAAGTTTTGCTTCAAACTGATAACCCCGGGTAGAAATAAATAGATCGGGCAACCGTGGTCCTAGAGGACGGCGGGGTGAACTGCCGGCGCTCGACGTTGACTGTCGGGTGTCACAGAAGATGCACGATGTGAAAGACGCGAGTGTGCGTTGGTAGATGTTGAGGTGAGGTTATCACTTAGCCTTAATGCTCGCTTGCGTTCAATAACTAGCCACCGGAAATCGGTTTGGTGATGGATTTCGCGATTGCAAAATATATTCAAAGAATCCTTCCAAAAAGCAAATTAAGGTGGCGCTATTGAGTTGTGCAGTATTCTAATCACAAACATGGTGGAGAGGCGCGGGACATCGCCTCCCCACATGAGAGATGATCATCCCAATACACGAAGGGCGTCGCCGCAACTATGCATAGATCGGAGCGCGGCTGCGGGTCGCGGCATGCCGCTTTTGCCAGCAAGCGCCGGCGGGAGATTTACCGCGCGCGGAGAGACACGAGGAAATTTGGTGCGCTACTCAGCCGCATCCGGAGAGCGCAGGCGCCTCAACCTTCCCAGGCTGCCGACGCGCACCGGGAACGTATGGTCAGCGCGAGAAAAGCGCCGGACACAGCAAGCGAGGCCCTTTATTCGTATGCATGTTCAGGTTATCATCATCCCCCAGTTGCGAACCCAAGAGCCCCCCTGAAATTAGAGAGGGGAGATATTATGTAAGTGAAGGCCCAATGATCTTCAATTCCTTCCTCTAGGCCATTGCCTCTCAGAGCCGCTCATTAGACAGCCCGGCCGGCGCCCGTCAGACGGCTCCGCGCCACGCCCCGGAGGGCGCCTCGTAAGTGGGGATGATGACTGCGTGTATCCAGACGTAGCGTTGAGTAGTCCGTGAACAGATGATAATGATCGAAGTGCGGCGCATCCATGATCGACAGTGCAATTTAAGCCTGTTAGGGACGGAGGCCGGGGTGGTGCGTAGTAGGAGGTGACTTGGTTTTATCGCGCAATTACGATGAAAAGATGACTCAATTAACGGGGTAGTAACACAATTAACTGGAAATTTAAAAATTAAATTAGATAGGATAAGAGACGAATTTCCTGTGGCTTTTACGCACAAACACTAATGCTGCATCACTTGCATCAGGTAGATGGCGACTTTCACCAGGGTCAGAGGGCGAGAGTCATTCGGTAAACTTACGCGAAGATCAAAAAACGAACAATTCATAAGTCCGTTTTGTATTCGCTGTTCGTTTCTGTACCTGTTTTAAAGTAATAAGCCGATTAGATTTTAAAATCTATACTTTTTTAACGCAATAACACATTCCGTTTTACCCTTCTTAGGTTTGTAAATGAGTAGCGCGGGATTTAAATCGCAGGCGTAGACCTCACTCTAAAGCCAAAATGTTTTGGACAATTTATATTTTTTGCTTTTTTTTTTTTTTCCTTAAATACTTAGATCATAGGTGTACTTTGTTTAGTTCCTGAGACAGATTTATCCGGCGATAATTTCGTTTTCGAATCTTGGAAGGCAGTATCATGGAGAATATTCTTGTCATAGACAGTGGAATCCCTTGTACTGTATCTGAGAAATGCATTTCAAGAAGCATCCGGGCAAATTACATCAGGGCTATCAGAAAAGCTTACATCAACTTTTTTTTTTTGATCGTATTGAAACTTAAGTAAATTATAAAGTGTCTTCTAACATTTGATTAAAATTAGTATTTACTGAACAAGCAACTGAAAGTTGACGAAAGACAAGTCAATTATTTTTGATTCACTATATACAATGAACCGACTAATCTTCCACACAGTGGAGTAAGCGTCGTTTGAACGCATTCCTCTCGTGTAGTGCGGGAGCTGTGCGTAGTGGGTCATCCCGTAGCAGAAAGTTACTTAGTGTGGAGATTTAAAAAATAGAAACGAAGTAAAAAAGAAAATACGCTGGGGATGTGTAGTGGTGAAACTACAGGGGTCATATTCCCGGCACGCAAGAGGCAGATCGATGTTTCCCGATATGACTGTTTTCTGTTCTAGCTGCTCTAGAGGCCCGCGCAGCGCCCGCGGAACTGAGGAGCTAATTGGAGAGATGGAGGTTGGATGAATGAAGTGTTGCAGAGGCGCAGGGAGAAAAACCACCTGGCGCGCCCAACTTGCACTGATAAGAAGGCGTAGCCGTCGTATCCGCTGACTATCTCGTGACGATTTCGTTATTTGCTAACAGTTTATTTGTAATCTTGCACGTGCGAGATTCGATGCGTTCGGGTGATCTGCGGTTGGATATGAGGATAAAAGTTACAATCTGAAATGCTAAATCGTGTATAATACGAAGACGAACGCATGAGGGCTGTGCCAGGAGGCCTCAATCGAGCGAATGCCAGCGCGCCCGCGCATTCCCCCAGAGAGTGTATCCGTCGCGGACCCCAGCGCCTGCCCCGGCGCCTGCCCCCGCCCCTGCTGCACGCCGGGGGACGGCGGTGTCAACGTGGAGGCTGGCGGCGACACCCGCCTCAGCAGCCCGCTACTGCTGCCCGGTTCGCTCGGGCAGGGAGCCAATCCTCAAGGCGGCGTCACCTGCCAGGCCGATGCTTGCCCGTTGAAGCGCGATTTTGAAATGGGTTGCTGTGGTTGGACGGTGGCGGGACACCCCCGCCAGCGTCACGCCCAGGTCTTCGAGGGCCTACTCTTAGCGGCGCCCGCCGCCCATATACGCCGTTGACGGCGCCTGGCGGCAGCGAATTGGAAGCGCCGCAACAGGATGTCGTCGCGGTAACGCGCAGCGGAATAAGTTGGAACGCGCGGCGACAGCAGCGGGGCCGCCGCCACCACCGTGGGCTGTCGGGCAGGCGACAGCGAGTTCGGCTTGGTGGGCGTGACGACAGCGGCGGAGGCCGCGGCCGGCCGTGTAGCCCCGCGACAACC